ATATCACTTTAATATCACAAGACTTCTAATAACTTGTTTAACTGTAAACTAAATTGTATAATTCATCCTACATCCACCCAACCAGTGGAGGCAGATGGCCGTCCCTCCCTGAGCCTGGTTCTGTCGGAGGTTTTTTTTCCCCTGTGGGGGTTTTCGGTTCCTTCCCACTGTTGCGGACTGCTGAAGCTTATAGGGAATCCAAATGTTTTGGATTGTTGGGTGTTTCTGCCTTTGTGAAGCGCTATGAGATGACTTGTTGTAAATATGCGCTATACAAATAAAATTGAATTGAATTGAACTTCAGATGCAAAGTTAAACAACTGCATGCATTCCACCCTCAATCTGCAGGACGTTTACCACAAAAGCCAAACAGGTTAGCTTAGATACTGCAGCCGACCGCTAAAACAGATGGTTCCATCAAAATCTGATGGTCAGCACAAGGACTGGATGCTTAATTGAAATATTACTGAAATCCCAACGTGGCCGAGTGCAACAGCCAAACCACAGGAGTCGTAGTTTTTGTTTGAGTAAAGGTAAAATGTGATGTGTCACAACACACTGTTATGATGCTACAGAGACACTCCAGCCTACAAATCATATTCTCCAGATGTGAGGGAACTTGTTTGTTTGCAGCAGAAATCATTGTTCATAAAACCTTTCCCACTAAAATTGTGATTCATTTTCCAGTCACAGTATCTGTCAAAATCATTGCAAAATGACTGTTTGGGGGGTTTTTGCATGTCATCTTGGTTGCAACTTGAGTACGTACCAAACATATTAACAGACGAAGATTCTTAAATTGTCTCAAAGGAGAGACCGAACCGATCTGGTAAGAAATCAAACTGTGGACAACGCGGTCGAAGTCAGAAACCACGAGGATGTTTCATCTTTACAGAAACTATACAGTAGAAAACAGAAGTTTAAAAAGATACATAACCATTTTTTTCTCACTGTCTGACATTAAACCAGGCTAAACTTTTCCTGTTTTAGGTCAGTTCGGATTACCAAAATTATTTCTATTTACTAAATGCCAGAATAATGAGAAAGCCTTTCTTCATAGTCAGAAGTTTACATCCATGTCCTTAGTATTTGGTAGCCTTGCCTTTAAACTGTATGACTTGGGTCAAATGTTTTGGGTTTCCTTCCACAAGCTTCTCACAATAGTTTGATGAATTCTGGCCCATTCCTCCTGACAGAACTGGTGGAACTGAGTCAGGATCGTTGGCCGTCTTGCCCACAAATGTTCTCCAGGATTGAGATCAAGGCTTTGTGATGGCCACTCCAAAACATCGACTTTGTTGTCCTTGAACCACTTAGTAATCTGGGGGTATGCTTAGAGTCATTGTCCATCTGAAGACCCATTTGCACCCAAGCTCTAACTTCCTGGCTGATGTCTTGAGATGTTGCTTCAATATTTCCACATAATGTTCTTTCCTCATGACGCCATCTATTTAGTGAAGTGCACCAGTCCCTCCTGCAGCAGAACATCCCCTCAACATGATGCCATCACCCCCTTTCCTAAACTGCTTGAAGGCTTAGTAATCTTAGTGTATGTAAACTTCTTACTTTGAAGAAAGTAATAAAAACTTCTCTCTCTCGATATTCTGGCATTTAGCAAACAGAAATCATGTTGGTTATCCTAACTGACCTAAAAAAGGAAAAGTTTAGTCTGATTTAATGTCAGATAGAGAAAAAAAAGGTTTTTATACAGTGTGTGTAAACTTCTGGTTCCAGCTTCTTGTAAACTTGCTGTGGCACCAGATCAATGTGTGCTCGCTGTAGTGCTCTACTATTAATCAAGTTAAGGTGACCGTGTGCTTTAGGGGCCTGAACGTGTAATAACAGGTGATATAGAAGCTCAGTGCTTAAAAAAAACATAGTAAAACTGATTCAGTAGTCTGTGAGTTCAGCGGTTAATTCAAAAGACTAATGCATGAAGTAAAATATTGAGCCATTACCTCCTGTGTATTAGCATTTTCTCACCAAACTCACAATTCTCCTTGTCCTAAAAACCTCAAAAACAACACAGTGACTGAAATAACTTCATAGCGTGGCTGGAAAGGAGTGAACTAATGTGCGTTCTTTGCATTATTTAACATTTTCTCCTAAAATACATAAATAAATGCATTTAAATACGGCTCATAATGAATGGCGGTGCTCCACACAGTCTGCCCTTTAGCTAAAATTACGCCTCATTCCAAGACGACGGATGAAAAAGTCATATTTCTCCCAAAGCTGCCCTGAAAACTTCCTAAAAAACAAATGTCCGCCGTGCGCATCGACTCACGCGACTTTGTCCGAGTCCTATTTGGTCCACGGGTTCCACGGTGCGGAGAACGCTCTGAATGAGGGCGAGACAGAGCCGCCTTTTCATCGCTCACCAAAGCCGGCGACGGAGCGGCACGGCGACGCGACCTAAAATACACCATTCAATTATCCACTCCACTTAGCCCTCGGAAATGAACAAGAGAGCGGGAAATAAATAACGGCGAGAGAAAGAGGTGGGGACGGGGTCATTGGTTTGTGTTATTTTATTAATTGATTTACATAATCCTCACAAGTGGGGGAGCGGTTGGAAGAGGAAGTGAAGGGCAAGAGGGCGGCGGAGGGGAGGCGCGAGCAGAGGAGGAAGATAAAAAGGAAAAAGCAAACCGGAGAGGAGAAAGAAAGAGACTGAATTTGCGGATGTTCTGTTCTATTTGTGCCTCTCAAATTGAGCGTGAAATTGCAATGTGTTGTTGGAGAGTCTCTGTCATTAATTTAGTTAGCAAGTGTAGAGACGATGGGGGAAAGCGGAGAGACGCGCAGAGGAGGCGAATCTGTTGTTCGCGGTTTTCAGACATTTTTCGGTAACTACACATTTGAGGAACGACGAGCAATTTCGGGAGAATATTGCAAACAAATGAGTGGAAATGGGTCGTTTCGGAGGGGATTGTTGTCTCCTGGCTCGGCTTTGGAGGTCACATTAATGACACATAAAAGCAGCTCCGCCTCGGATTGACTCACTTTTCACATCTCATCACCTCCTCGTCGAGTTTACATTTTCCTCCCTTAGTTATTAAGTAAGAGCTGATGGTGGCGTTTCGGCGCAGCTCTGATCCCCGTTTAAGAGCTGACTTCACTGTGCTGTGTCAGAGCCCAAAACCTCGCACAAGCACTTCTGTCACTCCGCTGTACGCTCCCGTCACTCACTCCAGACATTTATGGACAAAATGACTTGAGGGATGCTGCCGGGATGAGGAAGGCAGGTGCTGTATGAGGAGATTAAACTCAGACGTTGTTGTGTGAAATCTTCTTTTTGAAGCTTTTCCAGGTCATCCAGGCATAAGGGAAACTTAGAGGATTGGTTTGGGGTGTACACCTATTACTAGTCACTGCATGATTTCCTTTGTATGCTGGAGTCAGGAGGTGGTTAGCCTAGCTTAGCATGAAGACTAGAAGCAGGAGGAAGCAGATGGTTAAGTATATTTTACAAATTAGCCATTTGTAACAGGATAATAAACAACCTGTTGTCATTCATGGGGGTCAAATTCTGGTGTTTGTCTCAGAGATAAAACACAAGGTGTCATTTTGCTTTGTTGCCACCCATGTCCGTATTAGATGCCAACAGATGTATAGTTTTTCCAACATAAAAGCGTCTTATTGCACGTTATTTTGCACATTAGTTTCCTTATTTTTCTTAACTGTAACGTGTGAGCTAATGGATACCTTCAGTCAGTCTATCTATCTATCTATCTATCTATCTGTCTACCCTGAGGTTTGTGTCGTGTGTCAAACCATTACTTTTCACTTAATTTTATTGAATTTTGTGACTTTAAGTCCAGTTTTTACTCGCTGTTTGGTTAATTTTAGGAAAAGATGATGATTTGGGTTAAAATACACTCTTACAAAGAATTAACCACATGTGGGGAGGAAAACTTCCTGTTTTCTAAAAATAAAAATAACAAAGTAATAATGATGACACCAGGAGAGAACATCCGACTGTGGACTCATGTCTTCTTTTCCTGACATTCATGTTAAAATTGACTCTAAATCCTTAAAGCAAATTCTGGATTTGTGTTTGTTCATCTACTTAACTGTACACAAACATAATGAGTGGTAACTAGTAGCAGGCCTCTCTGATCTTGGCTTGCAGACTGTCACAGGTCTTCTATTGTTTAAATCACAGACTGTATGATAAAACATGGACTGTTGTAAAGCCATGTGGGTCTGTTGAAAGTGGACGTGACAAACAAGCAGTAGATCTGATTGGCAAACCCAAAGACAATACAGCCACAAGGTAATCCCACCCTAGAACGTTTCATGTTTATTGACGATTTTCCTCTAAATTGGGCCACAACAATGGAGGACTAAACCACTTCCACGTTCACTTTCCAGATCGGGGGGCTACATCTCTCGTTTCTATACAGTCTATGGTTCAAATGGGTCCAGAGGTCATGACCAAAGGACTGAAGGTTTAGACAGAGACTGGACTCATCTTAAAGGAAGCTATACGGGGCTGTTTGGGGATAACAAATGTTGAAAAAGAAAAAAAGTAGTTCAATATTTTGATGCTTTCTTTGTTAATCAGTGAACTTTAAAAATGTTGTTGTTAAAAAGTTTTTGTTTTTAGTTTAGTTTAATTGGCACCAGACCGTCTTTACTCCTCCTGCTCCCAGTTTTTATGCTAAGCTAAGCTAATCCCGTAAGGCTTCCCTTACCATCTTCCTGTTGTGTTAGTTCTGTTGCATCTCACCATTGCAGCTTTTTATCGCTATGATTATAAGGAAAAAGAACAAAAATCAAAGATACTAAATCTTCCTCATGTATATTTCTGTTTAAACTTAGCGTACGTTATGACAAAACTGGAGTAAACATCATTATTGACAGTAATATAACTGTATGGTTTTATTTTATTCTGCCTTTCATTCTATTTATCAACAAGTAAGTAAGAAAATGCCGATAATATTTAGTTTTTCACATCAATCTGACAGATTTTGCTGTTTTTGTCTCTTTCTCAGCCTACATCGAGGACCTGGCTCGCAGCGTGGAGCAGAGCAGACGTTTGATCATCGTTCTGACTCCGGAGTTTGTCGCCAAACGAGGCTGGAGCATCTTCCAGATAGAGACACGCCTCCACTCCATGCTGGTTACCGGCGAGATCAAGGTACAGAAGACCGGGAACGGGACACGAGGCAATAAGAGAGGAAGAGCTGCAGAACCATCTCTAACTTGTGTGTTTCCGTGCGTTCAGGTGATCATGATAGAGTGTGCAGACCTGAAGAATGTCATCAACTACCAAGAGGTGGAAGCACTCAAGCATACCATCAAGGTATACAGAAGGAATGAATGGTTGGATGGAGGGAAGGAGGAGGGGAACTGAAGGGTGACTAAAGTTAAAAAAAAAACTTCTTGTCTTCAGGTTTTATCCATCATCAAGTGGAGGGGTCCTAAGAGCAACGAGCTGTCCTCCAAGTTTTGGAAACAGGTGGTTTATGAGATGCCTGCTAAACGCAGAGAGACGCTGTCCAGACGCCAGGTATGTTGCTATGAGCAAAAAGTCATGGTTTTGTCATATATTTTACACATGTACACAATACGTGCATATGTTATACTTGATATTGTGGAAGTCGATAAAAAGGGAGACGAGAGTTGAGCTTGAGTCTCTGTTCCTTTATTGGACTCCACTTACAGCAAAAACTCACTCACAGTGCAAAGCCTTTTATAGCACATCCGCTTTCCCACGACCCGGAAAACCTTACCCCTGTCCCCTTCAAAATAATAGTGTCCTTTGTGTGTGAGACCCACAGAATTCGTGTACACCACAATATATAATTTTCACAGTGATTTACACATTCGAGCTGGATTTAGGAAACTTTAAACCAGAACTAAAGGAACATCAGCAGCACTAAAATGGATTAAACCTAAACTTTCCCTGTTTCAGGTCAGTTTGGATTACCAAAATTATTTCTATGTGCTAAATGCCAGAATAATGAGAGAGATCATTTTTTTTAGAGAATTTTTTATTACTTTCTCCAAAGTCAGTAGTTTACATCCATCTCCTTAGTATTTGGTAGCGTTGCCTTTAAACTGTATGATGTGCAAAATAACGTGCAAATGCACAATAGACATTTTTTTGTTTGTAAAATGGTCAAAAATAAGAGGAAAATGTCTGGGCTTCTGTCAAATAGGCCAAACTAATAAGACTAATGGGTTTTTTTGTGCGCTGACTGATCACTGTCACTTTCCCAACAGCCCATTTTAAGCTTAGAATATCCAGTGAAAAATAAAAATATTAAAACAAATGAGGTAAATAAATACAATAATAGTAATGATGATGATAAATTAATGCTTTCTTCTTTGCTAAACCCAAATGTGGCCAAAGAAGATAAAGCAGATTTAAAATTTGTTCAGAAATTAAAGTAGATTGAAAAAAAATAAAACTTGTGCATGTGCATGTTTTCGATGGCATTTGGCTGCTTTTAATGGTGTTAAAACTCTATACATTTATCTCATATTTAGTTTTTGGAAACTGATCTTACATGTTACTGTCCTGTTGTAGTATTTTATTCTATTGTACTTTGTTTTTAAATTGGATTGGACTAGTTTTATCCCATCTTGACGCACTGCACGTGATGTCGTTGCTGCCTGTCTGAGCACATGTGCAGCTATATATATATATAAAGAAAATGGACTTGATTTGAAAAGCGTACATACAGCGTACAGCTCCAGGTTTAAAGACAAAAATAACACAATGTACAGCAGCGCTTGTCCAGGAGCCTAGAAACCATAATACACCGTAATACAATGGAAATGTACTCTCCCCTGAGGTGCATACATTCACCACAGACAGATGGCCTTTGAAATGTCTGCTAAACACAGGTAATATATTAAAATTGGAGTCACAGTGAGCAAATTGCGTACATGTTTACCATGTGTTAACACCTCAGGGGGTGTATGCCCTGATTAGCAAATAAATGTTTTCCTGCTGCTTTGTGCTGAAGAATAATCATCAAGTAACAAATAGAGAGTGGATTATACGACTGCCGCTATTAGGACGGTATAATCTGAACGTCTCTCAGCGTCTTGACAGCTGATGTTATTTAATTCTTACCAGGTAATGTAGGTATTTATCAGATGAGGCGTTGTTTATTGAACAGGGGGACTGCACCACTGTCCATATGATGCTGCTTATTGACACCAAATATGAATCACAGTCAGCAGAGGACAGCGCCTTTCAAACTTTCACACCCCCAACAAAGTAAAAACACACAAACACACACAAAACAATCCAAACTTCCAGGGTCTTGTGGATTTAAGTGGATAGACATTGACACCTGATAGTCCGCAGTTATTCATGCTCGGAAAGCCTAATACAAAACAATGAGGCGGGGAAGCGCCACTTCGATTTATGGGCCACGAAACACACTTCCTAGCTTTTTGAAAAATTGCACAAGAATGCTGAAGAAGTCGAGCCATCCATCATGTTCAGCAACACTCACTGAATGGCAATCAGGTGTGTTGTGACCCCTCGCTGCCACCACATTTCCCAACCTTGTAGGATGACATTTCACAGACCGCCTGAGTCAAAGTGACTTTTGTTTACCTGCCCCAGTTCACTGACAACTGGACACCGTCAGTCGAAGTCAACAACAAAGAGAACTTTAGAAAACTTGTTCAGATTTCTATCTTTCTGCTATAATTTAAACCGCTGGCTTCAATCAGAAACTTTAGTTATAGCTTAACAGTGTTTGTTTTTTCTGCACACAGACTGTTCACATTATGAGCTGATATGAGCTGCTCAATGAGAAACGTGGCTAAATTAACTGAAGATATATGTTTATATGATAAAATCCTACACAGAAAACAAATACAGTCGTGACTTAACAATCCTAACCTTGCTATCCGACAGGTTTTTAGGAAACACGACTGGAACTCATAAAAATATCCTTAACATACCGATAGCCTTGGATTCTGACTCCAACATGACATTTTATGTCACCAATCAGGATAACGGTGTATTATCTGACTGAACAATCCCACAGATTGGCTACATTCAGACTGCAGGACTTACTGCTCAATTCAGATTTTTTTGTGAAATCCAATTTTATCCCCCGGGTGGAAGTGTCCCCCCCCCGACCATGCCGAATATTCGGATATTCATCATTGCTGGGCCCAAATATCCAGAAAGTGCTATTCGTACCAGCCCTAGTTTGTCATGTATCAATGGCATGTAGGTCAGATAAGTGCCGTTTAGACAGAAGTTGCAAAAGATCAGATACCTGTCAGATTTAGGACCACTTACCTTTGATGTCAACCGACGGCCCGTGCACAATCACTCCAGTCAATTAGATGTGAAATCCAGCGATGCGTAGTGTTCTAACAATACACTAGTTATTATAACAACTATAAATATTAACAACAAATGAGCCTTCAAGCATCAAGCCCTCCTTCTATCTCGACCTCCGTCTTGACAATCCACAGCCTTGCTATCCGACATAAAAGAAAGTTTTACATTTAGTGTCGGATTATCGAGTCACGACTGTACATGAATTAATCCATCTGAAAGGTACAGCTATGAGGCTTCCACACAGACAACAGCAACTTGACTGGTTCCAGGTTGTTTTGTTGTTGGATTTGAACACTTCATGGAAGAAAAACAACAGCAAGGAAAATCATCATTCTAATATTTTAACACACCAAATGGAAACCAAATAACGGCGCCTCTGTGTTGACAGGTCATGGACTCTGGTGAACAGGGCCTCTTTGGTGACCTACAGACCACCGTCTCCACTATCGCCATGACAACCACCTCTGCCTCTCTGGCGCCCCCTAACGAGAATCGCCACGGACATCATCAGGTCAGTTAGTGCATCTGATTGACTTCAAACTGATGCCATTACTTACAGGTTTGGTGTTTCTGAAACCAGCGGTGTCATTTAATAAAGATCGACCCCAGTGCACAGTCGGGAAAACACAGTACTACAGACAGGATGTGGAATCTATAGATCATTCTTTGCCACAACAACCTTATATGATCCACTGCTATTCATACTGTAGAAATGCTGATTTAACCCGTAAAAACTCATGTCTCTGTATCAGCATATTTGCATATTCTGACTGAATAAATTGGCTCAAATCTAACTCTACACCAATGCTTCCACCACTGCAGATCTATGAAGTCCTCCTCCCCACTCATCTAACTCCTAACCTTTCAGTGAACAAACCCGAGTTAAGCTTCAGGTTCTGCTCTGGATCTCTGACACTGAATGCACAGACTGACACGCAGCACAACGTGTTTCTGTGTTGTGGGTTTTGCTTGTTCAGACAACAATATGGTTTGTGTGTTGTTAACAGGAAGCGTGTGTTTGTGTGAAGATGTGACTATCAGCAGTTGATCTGGCGGGGTTTCCTGAATAACCACCAGGCTCCAACCAGGTCTCCAGACTAACTTTTCCACTGGTAGCATCGGTGCAACCAACGTCCTTATTTGGTCGTGCCTCTCACTTTGTCACAGGCAAAAACATATCACTTGTTGAACATCTGCTTATCGATAGACGCTCCAATTTACAGATGTTCCCTAAACGCCCCACATTGCAGACTGTGGTAGCTGCGGCTCAGTGGCCGCGGTGTGCTCATACCGGTATTGAATTTCACACGACCAAAAAATACTTAGAAAATAGTTCAACTGGAGCCTTCTAGCGTCAGATTTATCCCAGATTAAACCATTTTGTAGAACGTGGAGTGCACCTACATGCACTGTTCTGCTCATAGAAGACAGTGAATGCAGGTGCGCTCTACAGTGCAAATACCACAGTCCACCGAAGTTCTAAAAGTGCTGCTTTCCACCACTGTGGTTAACACAGTACACGCTCGCACACTCTCAAAAGGAGGTTGCAAATGTGACCAGAATGGTTGCAGTCTGGAGCCCTGTAAACACCTGACAGAATGGAAAAGATGTATAGAAATGAAAAGGGATCCTAGTCAAGCTGATCGGTGGCACAATGAGTAAAACTCTGCACTCATATTTTTACCGCTGGACCACATGGTGTCAAATGCTCTCACCGAAATTTTGGCCAGCACGCTTGGTTTTGCTGTCTGTAGATGATACAGACATCGATTTAGACTTAATAACAAGTGATGTTTACATTTTTTGGCAAATTCCTCTTCATGTAGCATCTTTATCTTCACTCACACGCGATCTGGTCGGGACAAATCTGCGAACGGAACATCTGGAGTGTAAATACAGGAAGCATCGCCAGTTAACCTGGAACACCGGTGCTGTCAGCCATACTGTCATACGTTACTCTCGTCACAGCTGGAGTCTCGCAAGACTGGAGCGGCCATATTGAATATCAGAGCTCCAATGAACTGATCCATAGCTTTACAACCGGACACCGACCGCTCCACAGTAGATATAGATCGATCCATCGGCCCGCCAATCGATGTATTCATATCGTTAAAGCAAGTTAAGCAGAGACTATAATTGCAAAACAAATCTCAGTCAGAGTTAACTAAAGCGAAGGATCTTTGGAGGATCAGGGTCAGAACATGCACCAACATAGGACTTGTACCTCCTCCTAACCAAACTCGTCATCTGTCCTGAATAAAAAGAGCTGATGAGTACAAATGACAAATATCAGTTAGCCAAATAAGTGATTCAGTCCAACTGCATTTTAAAGGCCTCCTCCAGTAAAAATCAATTTTTTAAAAATCTTTAATCTTTATCTTTTAGAAAACACATCATAAACGAAATAAACCTTCCACATGGCTGAGCATCTCAACATTAAAACTGCAGCGTACTAATGACAGTCTCAACAACACCGATTGAGACTTCCAGCACTTTATACGTAACAAACCGAAACAACCAATCCTGCCAACCTGCAGGGTGGAGCTTTCTGTATCACTTGTCTACTTCACGTTAAGATTCAAACATGTATGGCTGAACTACTCCAATATTACAACCCGCCACCTGCAGTTTGACAGCATTTGAGCAGAGTTCTTGGTGAGCTGGTGTGCTGAGTTGCAGTGAATGGGGAGATTTGGATGGAGAGAGAGGCGGTGACTTTATAGATCTACACTTTCAAGAAGAAGCGGTGGTGTGGAGTTGTATCTAAATCATTTAGGAAGAGAACATCTAAATATGTGACTGTGACACATAGAGGTGAGTTTTAGGGGTTAAATCGGTGACCAGAGCAGGAGGGTTGAGTGTTTCTGTCTACACACCGTCAACATAATTATAGGAGAGGCAGTTTCTTGATCTCTGTGCACTATTTGATGGCCCACGTACAGGCTCCATCAGACAGATATTAGTGCAGATACACTGGCTGCACTGCTTATATTTTATATTTCCACCTCTGTATGAAACTACTTTTTAAAAGATGCTGGTTGGACTACATAGTTTGTTTCTGGTGGTTAAAACTTGCCTCATTATTTTATCAGCCTGGGTCCAAGGATTACACTGTTTACATCCATGCCGAAGCAGAAAATGTATTTTTAACACTGTGCAGAGTTGATATTTTTTTTTTATCTTGCTTGTTTGCACAGTTCATACAGCAACTAAACAGAGTCTAAAAATCCATTCAGGGTATTGGCATTAACAGTTACAATACCACACCTTAGCGGCTAAAAAAGTGATGCTGTTCATCCACAGGTTGCCTTGGCGACGGAGATCCCCGACTACAACCAGATGACCTTGCCACTGGGAGGGGGTCACACTGCCACAGCAGCCCAAATGCGGCACTTCTGTCGCAGCTACGAGTTCCAGCTTCCCCCACAGCCCTCCTCCATGTCGCCTCCCCTCCCTCCCCCCTCCACGGTGCAGTTCTCCACTCTGGGCCCCGGGGGGCGCCACGTTTATTGCAACATCCCTATGACACTGCTGAATGGACAGGTGAGAGAAGAGACTGCGTTGCTCGTGCTTCTTGTCGCTTCTAGTTTCTAGCATCCAACATCTGCACAGTGTATCCTTTTCTTCAATTTCCATGCTGTTGTTTGCTTGCATGTACTCGGAGTTTAAACACAATAAAAATTAAAACCCCTCTTTTCTCCCCAGGGGTTCAGAGCAGTTCACTGGGGAACAAGAGGTCTGTTTGGATAAATATAGAAGGAAAATAGTAACTTTATATTATCCACCCTGAAATATTTATTTATTCTAACAGACTGGGAAATACTTGTTATGTGCAATACTGTTGTCATATGTAAAAGACATGGTGCAGTACTGGCATGCAATAGAACTGTATACTGTAGAATGAAGCACCTGTTTTCTATTATTAGCTGTAGATTCTTGCTAGCGGTGACAATGCGGGGGAGTTTATGTTAATCTCTGCGATACTTTGTGTTTCCCAGGTGCCTCAGAGCAGTACGCTTGGGAAGAAGCCAGAGCTCCACCTGAACAGCACCTTCGTACCACTCACCAGCAGAGAACTAAGCTCTGACATCTGGTAGATGGACTGCTCAACTGGTGCTGGACTAAACACCGGCTCACAGACTGCTTTTCACTGGCTTTGGGTAGACTGGTTGGTTGACTGGTTTTCAGTGGGGTTTTTTGGACCGTGTACAGACTTGGCGTTGGACTGGCTTTCGAGAGAGAAACTGCCTGCGGACTGTTTTTTGGGCCACTTCAATGTACGCTGGGAAGAAATGACTACTTAAAGACTGCATAAGGCTTGGCTTCACACTTGTTGGGTACACTGGCCACAGACTGCTTACAGACAGATTCCGATTATACTGCACTCTGGTTTTGGACCTACTGACTGGTTACGGACTGACACCAACTGGGATGTACAGGAAGATGAGCACTGGAAAGGAATGCTACTGAAGAACATGTGTCCGGGTCACGCTAGTAGAGAAGTTACCTACTGGTCATGCTGAGTTTGGGTACGAATGTGTGGATTTAAGAACTAGAAAAGTCAATGAAGTGGGAATCGATGGGTATCTGCAGGAGCTGTACTCTGATTGTCCAACAAGCTGCCAAGTTGGACCCCGGAGCACAAGAAGGTTTCTCTTAATTCTCCTGACACACCAGCTGTTGTGAAAACCAACGTAGCGCGATCTCAGACCACCAGTCGATCTTCTTGTCTGAGTTCTCAGAATATCCATCTACCTGTTGACTAGGTGGCTTGTCGGGCAGATGAGGCAGACATCAAGCAATGATTTTGGAATACCAGACCACCTTAAAACAACTAGTCAACCTCTTGAAATACTGCTCTACAGCTAGCTACCTGGAAACCAGCCAGCTCATCACCTTGTAACGCAGTAACTGTCCAAGAAGCGAACTGGCCAAGAGATGAACTGTCAACTTTTACCACCGAGCTAAAAGCGTTAAAGGACTTGGCTTTTTTTCTATTTGCATGACCACCCATTTAGATAAAAAATAATCGAATAAACATAGATAAAAGAGTAAATGACACAATCATTTGTCGCGGCCTCTTTTAATACGGAGGCTAATAAACATCTTATGTTGATACGGTATATTTGTTTTCTGTCTGGCCATGGCGTAACGATAAAAACTGATAAAGGGAAAAAAGGAGGCGTCCCTCCAAAAACATTTCTATTATTTATTTCGGTTCTGTTTTATCCTTTTAGAAAGGTCAGTGAGAATTTTTACCAGGCTTTGTTTTTACTGTCTGTTTGTTGCGATTATCTCTGTACAGCTTTCATAACTTATGTATAGACCTATACATGACAGTGATTTGTTCCCTACAGTTTCTGTTAACAGCCACATTTAGTGTGTGTGCTCCAGAGCCTCTAATCGCTTTTGTTCTGTTCCTCTTTTCATGGATGGATGGATGGATGGATGGATGGATGGATGGATGGATGGATGGATGTCTCATGGCAGTACAACCCTGCTAACGGACTGATGTTTTCAACCTGACCACAACCAGTCAGCCAAAGGGGGCTTCACCGCGTAAAAAGCTGTACTCCAAGCTGAATCAGACCACATTCTTCTTTGTGAGCTTTAAAAAACAAGAATTATTACCATAATATTTAAGCAAAGTGGATAATGTTTTGAATTTACACAAAGGTACTGTCATTGTCTTATTAGAACCAATGAATTCTGAATATTTGAGATTGTTTGATACAATAATTAATTATTTGAGTTGTTATATTCGATGGCAATATACAGTATAGTGGTTGTCCTTTAGTTTCTGCTAATTTCTTTGACTATTCTTTGGATATATTGGTTGAAATAATTTAACTGAGAGCAAATAAAAATTATATGAGTTGTTTTATACATTTCGGAGGCCTGTTGTCTCACACATTCAGCTGCTGTTTCTTCTTTCTTCCACTTTCCTCCCCACCAACACTAGCGTTTTTGTTCTCAATTTCTGTTTCTTGCTTTTTTTTTTGCAAGCTTGTGTCTTATTGTTTCCTCTAACTATGGGTTTGCTTCACCACCAGCCCCATTCCTTCTGTCTGAAATCCACTTCTCACCACCAGCCCACTTCCTCTATCACAAAAACTTTGGTTTGTAACAATTCTATTGACGTCGCTAATCGGAAGCTTCTGTTCAGTTTACTGGCAATGGACTCGGGTTCATACATACTGCGACCAGTTTCACACTCAGTTGAGCTAATCTGAGCTCAGCTGAACTGAGGGACAGCAAACTCAATAGGATTTAAGTCTGGGACTGTGAGTCAGTAAATAGAAAAGACATATAACTAATAACTAAAACAATATGAGTGAAAAGCTTGTCGACATTATTTTAACCATGCAAACGAATGACCAAATGTGAGCTCACAACAGTTAACCAAATCATGCACTATGCAGCTTTGTGATACATCCCAGGCAAACATAGTGAACTCAGCAAGCTGGGATGGTATTTACGAAATATAAAACAGCATTTGAAACTTAATCATTTGGATTTGAAAATGTTTTCATGAGCAATGTTTAGCGTTATGAGAGATGAAGTCATTCATTTTCTGTTAAGAACTGTGAGAGAAGATGGATGCCACGCTTAAAGCTAAGCAGTAAGTATGGCAGGTAGAACTGGAAGACTATTATCTTATTATAATGACATTATAATGACAGAACGAAGCTAGAAGTTTGGCAAATACAAGTTTGAGCACCTTGAAGATGTACCTGCTGTCTTTTATTATCCTATCAATTGGGGTTTTTTTGTTTGTTTTTTAAAATACTTGTTACGCTGATGACACACTCTTCTATTATCCTATTACCCATTGAGCACTATGGTCTTGAATAGACATAATGCTATTAGCGGTTTGGTAACTAATGAACTATTTGCTATAAAGCTTCTTTTGTCATTGTTGTTTTTGCCTTGTTTTTTTTTTTTATAATTACTCTAGTTTTATATAATTTAAAGCATTAAATATGTCTTCTACCATGTTATATTAAGAGATTGTAACTTTTTAAAACCATATTGTGTTTGGATAGAGAAGTAATTTTGACTGTCACAACAGTAGGCCAATGCTGGTAGTAAGCATTTCTTTACATTTCAGAGAAACTTGATTAAGAAAATGTGTTTGGCGAACCAATATTTCTCAACTTCTGTTCAACTGGAGGATCGAACTTTTGGCTGCTGTCCAGCCCACAATGCCATGGGCGCTCTTATGGAACCTCCTGCAGATGGTGGGCAACCTCGAGGGCAGTGCCACGGAGCTCATGCCCAACTACCGGGTGATCGCCAACGAGCCGATCTTCCAGACCTAGCTCCAGGGCAGCGTCCCGATATCCCTATGCCATGTGATTTATCTTGGTTCCTTGATTTTCTAGTCACCTTTGGAGAGCTAAGCCAAAAGATGAAGCTGTTGACTGACTGGTTGATCTAGGTTCCTACTGTCATCAGTGGCCATTGATGGGGGTGGTAACCAAAAGAATGAGGTGGCAAATACAAGAATCAGAGGTAAGTTTCATCCCACAGGTGTCTGGGTTTACCCTTGGAGATGGGGTGAGGAGCACGATCATTCAGGAGTGTCGAAACGCTGCTCCTCCACATCAAAAATCAGCCAGTTGAGGTAGTTCGGGCATCTGTTGGACATAACCAAAACATGTACAGCCATCCATCCATCCATTAACTTCTGCTTATCCACGGTCGGGTTGCAGGGGCAGCAGGCGTAGCAGATCGTCCCAGACATCCCTCCTCCTGGCGACGCTTTCCAGCTCTTCCTGGGGATCCTGAGACGTTCCCAGGCCAGCCGAGAGATATAATCTCTCCAGCGGGTTCTGAGTCTGCCCCGAAGACTCTCCACGTGTTCAGAAGACCTCCAGAGGAAGCCTCCCAGGAGGCATCCTAGTCAGGTATCCATACCACCTCAACTGGCTCCTGTCGACCGGGTAGTAGGTGGGAGCGGGCATCCTGGCGTATCGCCCCCTGGTGGCGTAGACTAGCTCTTGAGACGTGGAACATCACCTCAAAACATGTACAGTATTTTGGTTATGACCAACTGGGAGGAGACCAGGGTACACTGGAGGGATTATGTGTCTTGGGAAAGCCAATGTATCCCCCCAAGAAGAGCTGGATGAGGTGGTGGGGGAGAGGGACCAGAATGATTGGTAGAAAATGAATAAATGGATGGATGGATGTTTAATTGGAAATGTATTAACATGAGTACTAAGTCATTGTTTGCTTAGAATGCATGAAATGCTCCAAGTACTCTGTAATTAAGTACCAAGTAAATAAAATGCCCATTTGTCTTTGTACCATGACAAAAACGCCAGAGCAAATATTCAACAAGTGTTTTACAAATACTAAATAAATATCAGGAACCCCTGAGTTAACCTCGTGAGTTTGCACGGCATAAAATGTGGAGAAGCTTAGAGCTTTATCCTTTGTAGCAATATTAGAGTCACGTGAAATTAGTACATTCTTCCCAGAGATGGTGATGTCAGCCAGTCAAATGTCTCAGCAACTACTGGATGGAGTACCATGACAATTTGTAGAGATGTTCACGTTTCCCAAACAGTGAATTCCTCAGGCTTTGGTGATCCCCTGACCTTTTATCAAGCAACAGCAGCAGTTCACAGATGTGTCATCACCTGTAAAATAGTTCAACACGTACATAGCAGCAGGAAACAGGGCATTATGTGCTGATGTAGTCTAAAGCAGATTTACGTGCTCATTTCAGTGTGAACGTCAGGTCTTATTGCAAAAGCACATTCAAAAAAATTCTTAACTTCTGTGTTTTTACTTTAATTATTGTGCAACAGAAATTTGGGCATGTGACAAATAGTACTGCATCTCCTAAACATCCCAGTCATACACAACTATACTGCATTTTCAATTACATTTATTACATTTTACATTTTAAAGAAACTAGTGTAAAGAAAAAAGTGAATTGGATTAATGTTGCTGACTCTGCTTTCAGTTTTGTTAGCGTCACTGTTTACTTTCGTTCTTACTCGCTATTTGGTTCAGTTTCAGAACCAAAACCATTTGGTTAAGTTCAGAAAAAATCATATTCTCTGTGTAACAATACAACACTTTCACAACACGTTTGAAGCTTTTCCTTCATTATCTGGGTTACCACGGTGACATGTCCCATCCATCCATCCATCCATCCATTAATTATCTATACACCGCTTAATCCTCACTAGGGTCATGGGGGGCTGGAGTCTATCCCAGCTGACTCAGGGTGAAGGCAGGTTCACCTGGACAGGTCACCAGTCTATCACAGGGCTACACTTAGAGACAGACAACCAAGCACACTCACATTCACACCTACGGACAATTTAGAATCACCAATTATCCTCAACATGTTTTTGGACTGTGTGGGAGGAAGCCGGAGAACCTGGAGAGAACCCGCAACGGGGAGAACATGCAAACTCCACCGGGATGCAAACCGGCGACCTTCTTGTTGCGAGGCAACAGTGCTACCAACTGCGCCACCTTGCAGCCCCCCATCCCATCGAATAAAACATAAATGTAATCTGTGGGAAAAGCTGTTCAGTTATATTGGAACACAATTTCAGGGAGACAGGACTCAAATATTTATATTTCAATTATATTTCCAAAATATTTACTAGTTTTAGAGTTGTAATGGAACCCAGATTGCTCCAGGATTGTGCTGTGCTGACTGTATAACCGTTTGCTATCATGTGTCACAACTAGTAAGCTAAGTTAAAAAATAAACAGTGGATATTTATTTATTTATTTTGGTTTTGTTTTTTTTTAATGAATGAAAAGTATAGAAACATGGTGGCAATGAGTTTTTAACTGGTTGCATTGGAGGCATAAACATTGTGCACAAAATTTAAATCTGTCCAACAAGGGAAGAAGGGAAGCTTCAAAAAGTTGTGTAGTACTAGTAGTAGCAGCAATTGCATGTTTGTCTATAAATTGCTTTTCACTACACGTCACATTTAGGGAAGTTACCCCTACTGTGGCAAAAAGGTTGTGTTTGAAGAACAGAGTGAACAGAAGAGCAAATGTAATGAGAAGCGTGTGATGAGTACATTCTCACAGACACTATACATTTACATCCTGGTTGATTAGCTCCCATTCGTCCATGTTGGTCACACAGCTTCACATCCGGTAACTTATCTCACACATCACGCGGCCTAACGGCTGTGTTTTCCTAATTACTTTAAGGAAAACACACACTGACCACATTTGTCTTATCAGTAATGCAGTTGCTTTCCACAATATGCTAATTTCATGTGAAACAAATAGAAAGATTTTACATTTTTTTCAGTAGGAAGAAAAAAAAAACTACAAAACAAAGTAAAGGAAATGAACATGTGTTATGAATGTATTACTAACCGCATGTCTTGACATTACAATTTGTACAGCTACACAACATGACTGGCAGAAGAGTTTCATTTTTCATGAAGCCATGTCAGAGAACCTTTTCCACAGCTTGCGTGAGTCTGCTGTGACTTCATTGCTGTTCACACCCCCAACACCAGCTCTGTCTGTGTCACATTAAAAGAATCTGACTGGTTCAGATTGACGTACAGCAGATCTCTTATCGTCGCTGGAAGACTTTTAATGGGGAAACATTTGCAAAAAAGTGTTGAATTTCATTTAAGGAAGAGAGATTCGTGGCTGCATCGACTGCATATGAAGAGTTCATTTGCAGAAAACAGGGAACTCCATCGTCACAAACCTTCAGAAAACACACTTTTCCATCGTCTACCTGAGACAATATCAATCAAACGTGAGTTATCTCTACTGAGTCAAACCCACTCAGTTTGATTGATATTGTCTCAAGCAAACAACAACAAAAGAAGTTTTCTGAAAATCTACAAAAATGGAATTTTGCAAATGAACTCCTCCTCCATTCACGGGTTTTAAGACGCTCGGTGTGGTTCCTTCCATCTTGGCTTCCTGACGCCTCCTAACCTGATGCCAAAATTAGCGAAGAGGTGAAGTGAAGCTTGCCCTAGTCATGTAAACGTTTGGATTGTATTTAAGTTGCATCTTTTAACACAGAACGTAGCTACAGTACATAAGAGAGAAGGATCTTAAACAGGAGGAATGTGGCAACAGTGGCTCCAACTAATGATTCATGTTGTTGATGGTTCTACTGAAAACACAGTCAGCATTATCTCCAAACGTTGTCAGGCCTATGACACACCAGCATCCACGTTAAGATCGTACGGTTCACCAGCCCGTCACTAAATCTTTCCGTGTGTGCTCAGAAGGAAGCCCGGTATGATTTTTTTAACCTCTCCGCCACAAACCACCACTCTACAAGCGGAGAGGTGAAACATGCAACGACATCCCCCTTCTAACTTCTCCTCTGCTGCCTGTCGGCTGGAGGTAAAGACAGTCAGCTGCAAAACCATCCTTCGCCTTTTGAAAATGCCAGAAAACTCTGCTATCAAAGGGTAAGTCTACATGTCTTCTTTTATTTGAAATGTATTGACTTTAATGGCTGAGAGCTCCCTGTGGTTTGTAAATGTGAACGCTTTAAAAATAGATAGTATGATCAGGAAATGGGTCCGGACTGGCTGCTGTGGAGACAACAGAGCTCATGTTTTTTTAATTGTTGTGTTTCAATGTGACTATAATTTTTAATCCAATATTAAAAAACAAAAAAACATTTTTTTACTTGATTTCCAGATTAAAACACATTGACGTCAGTTCTGTCAATTACTAGTATGCTCGTTTGCATAAAGTATAATGTTTAAGTTCATAAAGTGGAAATAAGAAGATCTTTTTCTATGGGTAACATTTAATTATTACGTTAGATTTTTATATAATAAGTCTCATTTGTTTCCCACCAGTTCCTTTTTGTGCATTTTGCATTTTGGCATTCAGACACAAGTAGTTGAAAAGTTTTTGTGCTACATAGGTGCACATGTTTTTCATCACACGGCCAAAAACAGGTTTTGATAAAATGTGCAGCTAACTTCGTGTGTGAATATTATCCAGGAAAACCACTGACATGCTCACAAGTGGCTCCTCTAAACTCTTAAAGATATCTAAAGATAGTGAAATTCTGTTCATTTTTTTTAACACTTAGTTTCATCTTTGCTGTCTTTATTAGGTGTACTGATACAAAAGTTCAATATAATGAGACTTTTTTATCTTTATTTTCAACTGAGTACATATTTTCAGATGCATGTTTATTCCTCTGTGTATGAGTTCATACTTTCCGTGTTGCACAGTCTGTTTATAGCACTCATCCAGTCCCACTCTTGCTATAAATGTTAATCCTCAACCGAGAGGCGATTGTATATTCAACCTGTCTGGTCTGCGCTCTGCAGAACGTTGTAATTTCTCACCGTGTTTTTCTCAGCACAGTGTCTTTATCTTTAGTGTTCTCTGTCTCACCACAAACCAGCCAGACCGTAGCCATGTGACAGGAAAAGGCAAATGCCCGAGAAAAAAAATAAAAAAGCAACTTTTTCTCACGCATCTTTACAGAAGATTTAACAAGTTACTTGCAAAATAAATTAAGAAGAGGAAGTGTGTAGACATTCTACAACATACTAGTCCGTGTTCATCAACACTCGCTTGATTGTGACCTGGTGTGAGAGGCTTTTTCTATCCCGAGCCCCTGACAGCAGTCAAGGTTGCACAGCAAGTGGAATGTGGTTTTAGAGACATGACTTTTAGCAC